GGGAAACCTTGAACTAACTGTAAATTTGCAAACACTCGCTATTTATGTCGTAACTTGTATAAATTCATTCATACTCACGTTAATACAGTTATCTGATTTCACATATCGTTAAAGCCGGGGAAAGTACACAGGTAAGCGTCAGCTGAAACGGAGTGTAACCGTTTAGGTAAGGTAGTTTTTCGTCGACTTTGCGCAAAATTTTCGCATGAATTTAATTATTTTAATCCTTGTAACCCCTACCGCTATTTATTCATATTTGGGGTTATCTCAGGGAATTTATTTGCTCCATGCAGTTAAATGGCAAGTCCGGTAGCATTACCCACAGAAAGGGTATGTGTACTTTTTAGTGGTTGAAAAATGTTCCAGTGGAACGAAAAATTCATATTAATTAGCACGAGAGGACTTTTTTCTGTTATCTACCTACCTATGAATGGAAGGAGTTAAGAAGACGAGCAAAAGTTTATTTTCCAACAATTAATTCACTTGATTCAACGTTTTTCTTTCCAAAAAGAATTGCGTAGAAGGTCTTTTGAGGAGAGGCTGGGAAGCTATTTTAATTTCTCGAGTTTTTTTAAATGTCGTCTCATCACGATTTCAAGATGGCGACACAAAATCTGGACTAAAACGGCAAAAATAAAATTTTCATATGTTGAAACCGAGGTTGAAACTATACCCTAATACTTGCGCTATGTCTTCCCGTAATTATTTTAATGAAGTAAATTATTTTTATTTTATAGCAGATGTAAAATTGACATTTTAATACGTTTGGGCTAAGTCACTCTTTAAACGTGCATTCCAATGACATCTGTCATTCTTATTTCAAATGCGACGCGGCGCACGATATAAAATGACGTTCAGAACATATGACAGTGCTGTTTCTATGGAAACGACTGCGACGGCAAAACCTAACCATACCTTTATCGTCTTGTTTATAAGAAATAATTATTAGTTGCCGAAGATACTGAAAAAGTCTCTCCAAAGCTATGTCTACAGATGTATTGCCACTATCTATACAGCTAATTCAGCAATAGGCAGCCCATAATTGGTTATTAGTTATAAACCACCCGAATGGCTGATAATAAAAAAATGCAAATTTTTGGGATCAGTTCGTATCAAAATGCGGTTTTCAATTGTTCAGAAAAATGTAGCCTTTTTGAAAATTTCGTAAAGGGTGCAAGAAATGTATTTATTATTTCATCATTATTTGCAAAATTATAATATGAGATATAAGGAATTATATCCGATCACGATAAGGAGTCGAGGGGGGGGACTATGGTTGATTAATTGCTTTCGTTGAGACCTTTAATTAGAATACCATGAAAGATCAAATTAATGTGTACTACAGCCAGCCAATTTCAAAAAACTCGAAACATCCAGCACTCTATGATACTTCTCCTAAAATTAGCTAAACACGGCAGAAGTGGATGCGAACGGACGGACGAACAAACCCAAACACTATCACTTTTTAGCGCATTTTTTAAGAATTAAAAAAAATCTGCTATTTTTTTCGTTTTGTCCGTCCGTCCGTCCCGACCCACTTCTACCGTTTTGAACTACTTCTAGGGGAATGCTCCTAGAGTCCTGGAATTTTTTGCAGTAGGTAGCCTATACCTTGAAGGTGTGTCAGACGGCCATCAAATTTCGGTGTCTAAAAGGGGGTCCCCCCACGAATTATTTCCCGAGATGCTGTTTTTGAAAGTAAAAGGTGCATAGCTTTTACATACGACAACCATTTTGCATACGCATGCCTTTAGTGGTAAGTTAAACTTTATGGAATGGGGGGGGGGGGGGCACATGTTCTAGCCTTCATGGTATTCTAATGAAAGGTCTCATCGAAATAAATTGATTTGTACAAACTATCACTTTCCCGTGCAACTCTTTTTCGAGATTAGTGAGCGACGGGGGGGGGGGGGAGGCTACTAGCTTTTATCCTTCATGGTACTCTAACGAAAGGAATAATTTCTACCAACCATAGCCCTTCTCCTCGATCTCTTATCGTGATCAGGTATATTCCCTTACACCTCAAGAACGGATTGTCGGAAGAGGGTACACACAAAAGGCGATTGAGACGTCTGCAAGAAATATATCCATTGGTGATTTAAAAACAAAAGCTATTTCGGTTAAAAAATGCGCTTTATCTGCACAAGAGTTGTGCACAATTTATACTTGTTTTAAATGGAGAGACAAAATGTAGTGTAATGTAAGGATAGGAGGGAAAGAGTCTAACTGAAGTGTTACGGACAATAAAAGGACAGAGACAGGGATGTCCACCTTATTTACCTTTTACAGTTAAGTGAGAAATAGTAAAGAGGCGCAACTATAATGTAAGTGGGAGGAAGGAAGATACGATCCCTCGCATACAGAGGAAGAACGGATGAAGAATAGAAGATGGAATTAAATGTCGAAAAATCGATTAGAGAAAGGAGAGGAAGGAAGAGGGAGGTAGAATGGAAATACAGGGAGGAAGTAAGACCATTGAACTATAGGATACCAGCACAAATAAGGGAATGGTGAAACAAATATGGCAAGAAATATGGGGAATAGAAGAGAAAATTAAAAAACGAGTTCAGAATAAGAAAACACCTGATGAGAGTTGATATATGGAAAGAAAATGTGGGGATGGAGGGAATACAACGAATGTATTACAAATGGGTACTGAAACTAAACGGAAGAACACTAAATAACATATTAAGGATAACGATAGAGTTGGGACGCAGGGTGGTAAGATTCGAGGAAAGGAGAGAAAGAGAACGTGAATTGGTGAAAGAATATGTATCAACGAGGAGAACACAAAAGGAAAAAGAGTGGGAACAAAAAAATAATATGAAAGAAATGGATTGAGGTTGAAAGGAGAAGAGAAATAGGGGAAGAAGTGCAGCAACATGAGGCAGAAAAGCGAGAATTCACAAGGAGCTAATAACGGAGGTGGTGTTAAAATATCTAAGAGCGGGGAGGAAAAACATATAAGTAATAGAGAGGCTCAGATGCGGAAACGAGAAGAGAGGAAAAGAGAAAGGCAATTTATTTATTTATTATGCAGACTATGTGGAGAGAAAGAGGAAAAATAAATAAATATTTTAGCGCATTTTTTAAGAAAAAGCGTTTCGTCCGTTCGTCTGTACAGACACACTTCTGCGGTTTTGAACTACTTTTTTTTCCGGGACGATCTGAGACAATTTTCTTTTCGGGGCAAAAAAAAGGCAGTGTATTACCTTCCTTTTTTGAAAAAAACGACGCACCAAAATTTCTCGGAAAAACACTTTTTCTTATTAATTTTGGTGCGTAGAATCCAAAACAATTCGTACTTTTTCGATCCCCCTTCTCAATCAAAAGTTATAGACTAGAACCAATTTCGAAAAAAAAATTCAAAGGGCTGTAACTTTTGAACTAGTAGCCCAATCTTGCAACTGTTTGAAATTATGGATGCTACAGGCCACGTTCTATAAGAAAAATTTTTTTCAGGGACGATCTGAGACAATTTTCTTTTCGGGGCAAAAAAAAGGCAGTGTATTACCTTCCTTTTTTGAAAAAAACGACTGCACCAAAATTTCTCGGAAAAACACTTTTTCTTATTAATTTTGGTGCGTAGAATCCAAAACAATTCGTACTTTTTCGATCCCCCTTCTCAATCAAAAGTTATAGACTAGAACCAATTTCGAAAAAAAAATTCAAAGGGCTGTAACTTTTGAACTAGTAGCCCAATCTTGCAACTGTTTGAAATTATGGATGCTACAGGCCACGTTCTATAAGAAAAATTTTTTTCAGGGACGATCTGAGACAATTTTCTTTTCGGGGCAAAAAAAAGGCAGTGTATTACCTTCCTTTTTTGAAAAAAACGACTGCACCAAAATTTCTCGGAAAAACACTTTTTCTTATTAATTTTGGTGCGTAGAATCCAAAACAATTCACACTTTTTCGATTAGACTTCTCAATCAAAAGTTATAGACTAGAAACCAATTTCGAAAAAAAATTCAAAGAGCTGTAACTTTTGAACTAGTAGCCCAATCTTGGAACTGTTTGAAATTATGGATTCTACAGGCCACGTTCTATAAAGAAACATTGTTTTCCGGGACGATCTGAGACAATTTTCTTTTCGGGGCAAAAAAAAGGCAGCCTTTTTTGCAAAAACAATTAGTTTCAGATTTTGCATACGCATTCCAAAATAACATTTGTGAAATTAAGAAGGGGGGGGGGGGGGGGGGCACATGTTCTACCTTTCATAGTATTTCAATTAAATGTCTCCTCGAAAAGAATTGGTTTTTATAAACTATAACTTCTATTTCAAAAGCGGATTGTCCGAGGATGGTACTCACAAGGGGCGTTTGGAAGAAATATATTCATGGGTGATGGCAAAACTTTCTCAAAACGGTTTGTCGGAGGGGAGTAGGTACTCACAAAGGCAAAATGAATCGCCTGGACGAGACATATCTATTGATGAAGTCGAAGCGACTATTTCTAAAGTCTTGATTCTTTTTACATTGTATAGTGTAGAATGTATACCAGGCGACCTTAAAAAGTTTGTGTAAAAAAATTGTTTAATTTATTTTTTCCTTTTTTTAGTGGAAGGGGGGGGGGGAGTTCAGCCAAGGCTTACAGTATGTACATAAGCATGGATAATAGGATAGTCAATCAGTTTAAATTTTAAGAAAAAAATCAGCTTTTTTTAATATTTCAAAGCTGACTTTGCAAGGAGTGTAGCTAAAATGTATCCACAGGAACACCTGGGGCGCGTTATGAGCTCTATTTTGGTCATTTAAGTAAAAAAACGTACAGGAAAAAAACAAAGTGAGTAACCTAACCATATGTATTTTTACACACTTGATTCGCTCAATTATGGAAATGAATTTCAATGTAGGTGTACCCATTACAAATTCCGTGACCTTAGAGGAAACCGACTTCCACGTTGTAGGTAGATATAAAACAATGACACATACCGTGCACAATATGAATGATGCAGCTTACGTAACGATTCAATTCAAACATTCCAATTGTTTACTTACTTAGTCGTCCGAAGGAATGTGACAGTCTTTTCTTGAGTTTCTGCATTCTCGAAAGTGCGCCACTTTTCTTCTCCCGCATCGTGACTCCAGAAGGTAATCCAACTCCTGTAACAAGATGCCATATGGTTAAGAAATCGACATGCGGAAACCGGTCCATTTTGTAAACAAAAGGACATTAACCATGCATTAAAAAATGGCGGCCGTGAGTGTAAATAATAGAAATCGGGGGTAACGGCGGATTTGTCCAAGCTGTCAGGCTGGATAAAATTGACCTAAGAGACTTTTCCGTTTGAACGAACAAAAGTATTGGGTACCTGGACGAACAATGCAGTTGCACTTTGTTGATATGAAATACCTGAGACTATGAAACAATAAGCATAATTACAAAGTAACCGGTTCAACTTTTACTTTTAAACAAACTATCTGCATAGGTTTTAGAGAATGTAAGTCAAATTTTTGTTGCACCTTGTGCTATGTTTTTGGGTTACCTTGCCTGCAGCTGCACGTAATGGAATTGATTGACATTTCAAATTTAAAGGATTGCCGGAATTTAATTCATTCCCTACTGCATTATGTACGAATTAATCAAATAAGGAGATGACTCATTTCGAATTAGTGAAGTGTATATTGGCTTGATTGAATGGGGGCGGCGTTCATTGTGCTTCTTGTCATCGTTCTAGAATGACAGAGAGCCCTTTTACAAAATTGTCAAGGAAATTGCTAAAACTTACGTAAAAGTTACACTCTAGCACGTCCGTCACATTTACCAGACGCGGCACGACTAAACAAAATTATACAAATGCGAGCCACTTTCCAAATTTGGTACTGTAAACTATGACTAATGTTGATAATAACACACCTCTATTCAATTGATAGATAAAGAGGTAAATTCCGAACAAGTTAATAACATAATGATGTCGTTACGTTCCGATGAATCCTAAATTAAAAATTTTTGTAAATACGAGGAGTATTTTAAAACATTGCTCCCAAAACAGAAAAGACGGGATTTTCTTTAACATTTTATGATTATTATATTCATAAAGATCAGGAAAATGCTCCTACGTATCTTCTGAAATAAATGACATGGGATAAATGTGGTCATCAAAATCATTCGCATTTTCATGGATTTTCAAAAGCTTGGTTTTACTTAAAAGGCAACATACGTATTGTAAAGACGTGTAGCCACCCCCGAACATAATTTCCAACATTTTCTCTTGGTCACACTTATATAAAACGCGAGCAGAAAACCACCAAAGCGAATTGTGTACACTGCATAAAATTGACATGACTAACATTGACAAAATCTATTGGGATTTTCCACCAGAAGCCGCTTTCAATACTTTATTGTTAAAAATGTTAATCAAATACAATATATGGCCCATAAAGAAGTACACACTGTATTCAGTAGCATTTTTGATTGCGAATACGATATAAGGCACATGCAAAAAAAACTAAAAGTTGAGAACTGTTGGTTTCAACAGGATGGTGCACCCGCGCACAACGTCCTAATCATGCGAAAATACCAATAATTTCCTTTTTTTCAAACTAACCGAGGGTCCAACGGGTTTCGTTTTGGAGCCACCTTCAAAAAAGTGGCGAAGTTTGCATTTCTTCTTTAACTTTTTAATGTAAATATTTTATTTTTTTTAAATCGGAGACAGCATACGCGCCACCAGTCTTTATATCTCGTATGGTTGCTGAGAAAAAAATTAATGAAGAAAAGCAAATTCCACCACTTTTTTTAGGGTTGCTCTCAAAGGAAACACGTTGGACCCTCGGTTTATTTGGCAAAAGAGCTTGTTTTAATCCCCTCTACCACAAAATTTTTTTACCTACTGACATGTAACACCCTGTATAGTATACGTATGTCAAAAAAATT